TACGGCGTTTTTCCTTAGCACGGCAGTAACGACCAAAGCAATAGATGGATAATTTTTTAAGTATCTTCCTCACTCACTGAACTTGCCACGAGACTGTTCTCAAAATATATTCCAAATAATTTTCAAAAGATTGTCAGCATATTTTCAGAATATCAGCTTGCTCCGGGGAGATTATATTACCGGTAGTTTGGCAACCCTCGCGACAATAACGCGGAAAGTTGCAGCGCGGATAACGTTACTTACACTGCCGTGCTGAGGAAGAACGCCGTATGAACATTCGAGAGTTGCCACATTTCCTTCGAAAAAAATGTTCATTTTTGAGGAAAGTTATGAATATTTGCCCTTGAAATTTTCAGGAACTTTAGGTGAAATTGCGTACAAAATTATCTGAAGATTCGAAAGGAAAGTATTCATAAAGTTACCGGGAAATTTGTGTTTTATCAAAAAGGAAATTTGGCAACGCCTGAAGGTTCATACGGCGTTTTTCCTTAGCACGGCAGTATACCTCCACGAGGGGCAAGTTGGTTGAATGGCTTTGCCACGGAAAAAATGATAACCTTAAATTTGATAACGGCTTTTTCACCGTTGGATTCTGTCGGTGTTGGCGCAACTGTATTTTACGTAACCCCAGCATTTACTTATCAGTCAGTGGCGTGGCGTGAATTGCGATATATCGATTGTTATGCCGTTTAAACCTATGGAAAAGGGTCGATAAACAGAGTGTTCGCAGCGAAAACCCTAATAATCGATTCTTTACCATAGGTTTAAATGGCATAACAATCGATACATCGCAATTCACGCCACGCCACTGCTTATCAGTCCAATGCTCTGACCAAGGGGGCTTGGTGCTGAACTGGTGCCCACTGGGTGCCTGGAAAACGGTGAGGGGGGGAGAGGGGTAGAATGCGGGGGGCGATTATTGAAATTTCTTGTTTGTCGGGACGACATAGATGACATAGGTTAAAAGGCGGAGCGTGATTGGTCGGCTATGTCTTATCGCTGCTTTGTCGTGCCTTTGTCAGGTGGAATGATCGACAAGCTAACGGCACCTCTTAAGTTTCTGACAGTATGTCGATCATTCCACCTGACAAAGGCACGACAAAGCAGCGATAAGACATAGCCGACCAATCACGCTCCGCCTTTTAACCTATGTCATCTATGTCGTCCCGACAAACAAGAAATTTCAATAATCGCGGGAAAGGTTCATACTGGGACCGAGTTTAATAGATTATAGATACAAATTTTTAGGAGCAGCCCGAGACGATGATAACAGTGGAACAACAAAGATGAAAAAAACGGGAAACAAGGCTAAAAATACACAATTATGAAACCCGATCCCCGATTTGTATCTATGATTGCACTGGGTTCATTGTGCCTTTTAATTGTTATGTCTTTTCGATTTTTAACCTGTGTTTATTCTGACTTTTGGTAAGTCGTTTTATCTTTTACTCAGTTGACACATTTGTGCACCATTCATTCAACAGACTGCAATATGTTTTATCAACAAGTACGGCGGTTACATGGTTATGCAACTGTTTCATCTCTCAAACAGTTAAGGAAAATTAGTAGGAAATTAGTGTTGTCATCATGTCGGAAAATTTTCCTGCTGAGATGTAGGGAAAAGAAGGTTTTCCCGGCATTCATCAATTTCCACCTTAAACACATCACCAATGGTTTACATAAGAAGCGTAACAAGTGCATTGAGGTTACGGAAAAGTTCAAAAGCTCCTTGTTGAACTTATGCATTGAGGATGTTCACTATGAGATTATGGATCTCAATCATAATCTTAGAAACGTCATAACCAAACTTAAAGCGTCGCTACCGCATTTCGTTCTCATTGATTTTATTGTTAATACCACCTTAATTGCCAAACGTCTCGGGCGTGTCACTTGGCAGCGCTTGGAAAATAAACTTGTCAGGCTGGAGGAAATAGTTGTGGACAAATATCATAAATTGTTTGGTCCTTTCATGGAAAAGAGACAGTTATGGTTAGAGAACATCTCTTCGACGGTATTGCCAGGCTATGTTGAAAGAGTAATGTGTCTGGGTCCCATGTTTTCTTTGCCATTTTTTAAAATCGGAGCTGATGCAAACTCAATTTTTAAACCTGTTCCTCTTGAGAAAATAATTTCTCAAATTGAAGGTAAAATCAGAAATGAATCATCTATGGTTGCTGATAAAATTAGGGAAGGCATTTGCTTGGTGATTAACCGTTATCACCGAGAAATGCAAAGATCTCAGGGATATCCTGAAAAAATAAACATCATGTCGAACCGGAAATTTAATCAGTGTAGGTTGATGAGAAATCTCAAAGAGGATCTAAAGAACACCATAATGTTTTGTAAAAGAAACAGGTCTTTAAAGTTTGTAAAAGCAGATAAGTCCAACAAGGTAGTGGTCATGGATGGCAATGACTACTCAAACAAAATGCTTCATATTCTCAGGGATACAAGTGTATACAAGAAGGTGGCTAGGTCTCTAGTGCCTTCGCAAATCGATAAGAACAACTCTATTGTCAAAAAATGGCTTGCGGAAGGTCATATAAATGATGGTATGTGTAAACATCTTATGGTTAGTGGTGGCAGCGTTGCCAAAATTTATGGTTTTGTTAAGCTGCATAAGGCAGAATTGCCTTTGCGACCAATCGTTAGCACAATAGGAACACCATACCAAAAACTATCCAGGTTTTTATCTAGCATTTTGTCGAACATTGTCGGTAAGGGGGACTCGCATATTCGGAACTCTTTTGAATTTTTTGATTTCATCAATGGTGTAAAGGTACCTGACGGTTATGATTTAATATCTCTTGATGTAGTTAGCATGTACACTAACATATCTGTTGATTTTGCCCTTCAATGTGTGGAATTGAAATGGGAGGAAGTTGAAATGTTCTGTCCGTTACCTAAAGAACAGTTTTTTAGTACGTTAAAAGTGTGCCTCACCAATACCATCTGTCAGTATAATGATGCGTTTTATCAACAAATTTCGGGTTTGGCCATGGGAGGTAGCCTTTCGGCTGTCATGGCTAACATATCCATGGAGCGCATCGAAAGTACTGCTTTGAGTTTATCTCCCATCGAAATCCGCATGTACAAGCGGTATGTCGATGATATTTTTTCTTGTGTAAAAAAAGAAGATACGCATGCTATTCTTGAATTTTTCAACAGTTTAAATCCCGCCATAAAATTTACCCTTGAAATTGAGAATAACAACTGCCTCAATTTTTTGGATATGACTTTAATAAGGGTGAATAGCGAGATTAGATGTAAGTGGTATCAGAAACCAACGGCGTCTGGTCGTTATGTTAATTTTTTATCTGTTCAACCCATGAATGTAAAGAAAAACGTTGCATCTAATTTAGCACGGCGCATAATTGGTCTCTCTCATGTTTCATATCGGCATGAGATGATCCAGATTGGAAAGAATCTGTTGGTTGAAAATTGTTATCCACCCAATTTGATAGCAAAGATTTTCCGCCAGGTACTTAGTAGTTTTAATAAGAGAGGGGGGCAGGATAAAACTACCAAAGAACGGGATCTCGACAAAATTGTATGCCTTCCATACGTTCCCTTCCTTTCGGAAAATTTGTCATCGATTTTAAAATTGTTCGGGTACCATGTGGTTAACACCAAATACAACAATCTTGAGTTCCTGATGTCTAGGGTGAAGGCTAAAAATCCGATTCTGCAGGAATCGGGGTTGGTCTATAAAATTCCTTGTGGAAATTGCGACATCAGTTACATCGGTCAGACCAAGCAACTTCTAAGGAAGAGGCTTGGTGGTCATAAATATGACAATAGTGAGTTAACAGCACTCAAGAGGCACCAAACAGAATTTGGTCACCGGTTCGATTTTGATAAGGTGGTAATTTTATGTAAGGAAGAGAAGTTGTTTCCCAGACTGGTCCTGGAAATGATCGAAATCCTCAAACATGGGGATTCTGTGTGTAATAACCGCACTGACATCAGCGGGCTTAGTGCAATATACCACTCACTTTTTAAAAAGTCAGGTTTAGGTTGACGCCCCAGCGGCACCTATTGGCTTTTCCTTGAACTTAATTGTTTCACTGGTTAGTGCTGCCATCTGTGTGTGGATCGTGAACTAGCGTATCGGTCAATTTCGGTTACTGGTGCTGGCATCGATGTGTCTTGTTTGTTATCAATTTTCTTTTTTTCTCTCAGATCCCGGCCCCACCATGTAGAGCTCAGGTTTTTAGCGTTTTTCTTTTAAAATTTTTTATTGTTTCCGACTGAAAATGACTCAGTGTTGAGTCGAAACGTCTCGGGTTTCATAATTGTGTATTTTTAGCCTTGTTTCCCGTTTTTTTCATCTTTGTTGTTCCACTGTTTAATAGATTTAGGTCTCCTAACTTTCATATGGACCGAGTTTACCAGAAAGGAAACAATTCAAATTTTTGAAAAAAATTTGTTACGGGTGTTTTTGAGTTTCAGTAGCCGTAAATTATCTCCCGCCAAAAACTGAAAGTCTAAAAACAAAATTGTTTTGGGAAAAGAGGAGTTAAAGTTTATTTTTCACATTGAGCCTTATGCAGGAATTAAACTTCAAACCTCTTTCTCTCAGTTTCAACTTAATGTGGGTATGGGGTCCTCTCTGATGAACTCGGTGCATATGGGAGAATGATAATAAGAATATTAGAAAGACAGTGGAACACAATGACTTAATTCAAGCGGAAGACGGTATCCAACGTTAGTATTTGTATACTTTAATTCAGTCCATTTAATAGGGACCGTCCCTAAATTACACTCATCATGTTCTTGTGGATCTCAGGGCTCATGTCAGAATGGATGTATAGCTCCTTTTTATTTATTTAAATATGTCTATTTTGCAATTAGAATCTATACTATTTTTGGCTTTTGGGGAGGGATTGCTCCCTTTCTCCCCTTAATTCGTGCCGCCATTGTTTTAATATTAGCTTTGAGAGTCTTCAGGACAGTTAGTCTTTAAAGACTGCAAGGATGAGAAATCAATAAACAGAACGGACAGTTTAGGATTTCTGATTTATTCTTTGTTCAAGTGTCATATTCCAACCACATTTACATCTAAGCACCACGTCCATATAAACTTTTATGTCTTCAAGTTTTGTAGTTGTGCTAACTCGAAACTGCCGTATAAAGATGGATAGTGTTGTCTTCATTGCTAGCATTGAAAATTTTTTACCTGTAAACAAGAATAGAATTTATCGGAAAATGACGTTAGGATGATTGGAAAAAAGACGCACTATCTGAATTATACGTAATTATTATAGACCGAACGATGTGCACTTGAATACAATCGAAAGAAGCTATATGCACGTCAGGTTTGCTCGCTATATAATTCCTTTCGATCTAATATCGATGACCAAAGTGCGAAACCACGTATTTCAGAGCTGACCGTAGGTTGGTGTAAAGAGCTTGATGCAAAAACGGCTTTTTTCGCCCCCCCCCCCTCTGGAAGTTCTTCAGACTTTGTCTATTGATTACTCATACTTGAGCGCTTCTTTTCCCAAATTTTCAGACCCCCAAAAAATTTTGGGGGGGAGCTAGGGGGGGTGGAAGTTAAAACCTGTGAACCTCGATATCTCTTGAACGAAGAAAGATATCGAGGTCCGGTTTGGACGAAAAATCGTCTAAAATTGCATACTTTAAGATTCCAAAGGTCAAAATCCCGATATCACATTTTTAAGTCCACATATGTGCTTTTCTCCAGTTTTTAGGTCTAGAAAATTTCTTTTAAACGAAAAATTTACAAAGATTTCAATTTTTTATTTGAACTAAAACCAGTTTTTTAAATTGTTCGTCTTTTTCCGCATCCAACGAGTGGTCGTATAAGCTGGGGAACCGAACGGTTCCGGAGTTATGATCGATTGAAGTTTCCGCTCAACGCGCGCCGACCGATTTTCGCGCGCAAAAAAGTCGGATTTGACTGTTATTAGATCAGATTGAATGTTCAAACTGAGTAAAATGCTTTATTAGGGACTCTTGAGGGTCACTGAATTCAGAAATTACCGATACTTCCAAAAAATTCACGTTTTTAAAATTGCAGCTTCGGACAGGACCACTGAGCGGCCGGTCGGCGCTCAGTGGGCCTCTAAAATAGCGCTGCAGAGCTGTAATTTTAAAAACGTAAATTATTTGGAAGTATCTGTAATTTTTGCACTCAGCGACCCTCAAGAGTCCCTAATAAAGCATTTTACTCAGTTTGAACATTCAATCTGATCTAATAACAGTCAAATCCGACTTTTTTGCGCGCGAAAATCGGTCGGCGCGCGTTGAGCGGAAACTTCAATCGATCATAACTCCGGAACCGTTCGGTTCTCCAGCTTATACGACCACTCGTTGGATGCGGAAAAAGACGAACAATTTAAAAAACTGGTTTTTGTTCAAATAAAAAATTGAAATCTTTGTAAATTTTTCGTTTAAAAGAAATTTTCTAGACCTAAAAACTGGAGAAAAGCACATATGTGGACTTAAAAATGTGATATCGGGATTTTGACCTTTGGAATCTTAAAGTATGCAATTTTAGACGATTTTTCGTCCAAACCGGACCTCGATATCTTTCTTCGTTCAAGAGATATCGAGGTTCACAGGTTTTAGCTTCCACCCCCCTCCTAGCTCCCCCCCAAAATTTTTTGGGGGTCTGAAAATTTGGGAAAAGAAGCGCTCAAGTATGAGTAATCAATAGACAAAGTCTGAAGAACTTCCAGAGGGGGGGGGGCGAAAAAAGCCGTTTTTGCATCAAGCTCTTTCTAACTAGACTTTTTTTTAACTCTTTCGCAAAAACAAATATTGATATGCGCTAGCTTGGCTTCATATGCAGGATTCATCGAGAAATGCTCTATATTCCAGCTTTCATAATATGTTTCAGTCAGCAGCCTATAGAATTCTCTCATTGCTATTGTGTTTGATTTAAAGCTTATTCTTCTAAATTAGCACACTCTCGACTCTCCCATTCTGATTTACTCGTGACATACGTTACATCGTACAGTTACTCATTTCATGAAAATTTTATCGGTAGCCTTTGAAATCTGAAAAGAAGCTTTCTAAACTTGTTTGTTGGCATGGCAAGAGAACTTTAAAATGACTACAGGTCTTTCTACCATATGACTAAATATGATATAATATAATATAATATAATAAATATAATATAATATAATATAATATAATATAATATAATATAATATAATATAATATAATATAATATAATATAATATAATATAATATAATATAATATAATATAATATAATATAGTATAATATAGTATAATATAATATAATATAATATAATAGAATATATAATAAATAAATAAAAGCCAGAACACAATGCCCTCTAAAATTTGTGATGTCATTTTTTTTTGCAGACTTACCAATACAATTTCTAGCACCACCGCTAAAAGGTATTTATCGGTAGCCTTTGAAATCCGAAAAGAAGCTTTCTAAACTTGTTTGTTGGCATGGCAAGAGAACTTTAAAATGACTACAGGTCTTTTTACCATATGACTAAATATAATATAATATAATATATAATAAATAAATAAAAGCCAGAACACAATGTCCTCTAAAATTTGTGATGTCACTTTTTTTTCAGACTTACCAATACAATTTCTAGCACCACCGCTAAAAGGTATGTAAGCATACTTGTGTCTATTCGCCATTTTTTCAGCTGTAAAATTATCCGGGTTGAATTTTTTGGGTTCTGGCCAAAGTTCCGTATCATAATGCGTGAAGAATGGATAAATTATCGCAGTTGCACCAGCTGGTAAAACGTAATTTTGTGCTGAAAACAATTATTATCAATCATTTTAAATTGTTAAGAGAAGGCAGCTTGTCCTCAAAAAGCTCAAAATGTAGCTTCTTCTGCTGAATGTATACATTGATGACCCACCAGACAAGGTCATACATGTATAGTCACGACTACACCAAGTCTTTCAACCACACGACAACAATGGAAAATGCCTTAAAGAACCAAGTTATGTGCTTACGCCTCATCACATTCACCTAACATTGGTCTGGTTGAACTATTTATGTATAAATTACACGGGAGGGGGGGGGGGTACGTTCCCTGGCTGCTACGCGGCCCGCGGCCCATCCGTTAGATGGTGCTTTGGGAGCGCACGTAAATTAATCTATACATATAGCAAGCAGGCCCGCCACATCCCGTCTCGGGCCCTGGTACCAGTTTAAAGGTCCGGGCCCCAAGCACGGAGGGGGGTCCGAGGGGCATACCCTGAGAAATTTTAGAATTTAAACGACAAATCGGACGCATTTTGAAGCTTCCATAAAGAATTTTTCCATCAATTTCTGCGTAATAATCATGTTTTTTTTTTTTTTTTTTTATACTTTCAGCACAAAATACTTGCGAATTGTTGCATTCAATATAACTGGAAAATTTTTATTTATTTTTTTTTTGGGGGGGGGGCATATGATACTATTTTCAGTTCTATAAGAAGGCCAGGCCCCACTGGACTCCCCCTTCGTTTGTCTATGGCAAGGGAGTTGAGCCATGAGCCATTGAAATCGAGGATGTCCAGACTGGAGACTCTTAACATCTGACGACGGAAGATAATGAAACGCAGTTACTAAAAATATCCCTCTGTACTAAAAATCTTGAAATAGATAGAAATTTTCCAAGAAGTATACTTCTTTGAAAATTTAAGAAGAATTCTAGAGTGCCCCAGCGTGTTTCTGAAAATCTATTCACCTTTTGCGAGATTTTTAGAGTAAATTGATCACTTTTTCTTACGAAACAAGGGTTGCATGTGAATTCGTAATGGCTTTTTACGGGTAACACGGGCCCCCTCCGGGACCCGGGCCCCGGTACCAGGGACCCAGTATCCCCGCCTTGTGCCTGGCCTGCCTTCATGCACGCTGGGCCTGTCAATTTCCTTTGACATTTTTGCAGTTGTGAATGCATAGCTGAAGTGCGCTACAGCTACAATTTTATTTACAAATGGGTAGTTTTTCTACGAGGATTAAAAATAAATTAGTGGTACGAAATATAACAAAAGAATATGAACTATGCAAAACGATAATCCGGGTATCGGTACTTGGCTCATTTGAAAACGCCTCCAAATGCGGCGTGATACCTCACGCATTCCGGAGAGTTCAAATAGTTGTATCATTGCGCCGTAAGAATGTGACGGAAGATTTAAATGGAAATAGCCTCCATGCACGCTGGTCTTGTCGATTTCCGTTAACATTTTTTGCAGTCATTAATGCGCTTAAATGCGCTTCAGGTAGAATTGTATTAAGCAAATGGGTGGTTTTTATAGGAGGATTATAATTGAAGAAATGGTTAGAAATGGAAAAAAAAGAATATGAACTATGCAAAACGATAATCCGGGTATCGAAACTTGGCTGTTTTGAAAACGCCTGCAAATGCGGCGTGATACCTCACGCATTCCGGAGAGTTCAAATAGTTGTTTCATTGCGCCTTGGAAATGCGACGGAAGATTACAATTGAAATAGCCTCCATGCACGCTGGGCGTGTCGATTTCCTTAGACATTTTTGCAGTCATGAAAGCGCTTAAGTGCGCTTCAGCTAGAATTGTATTTAGCAAATGGGTGGTTTTTATAGGAGGATTATAATTAAACAAGTGGTTAGAAATGGAATAATATGAACTATGCAAAACGATTATTCCGATAACGGAACTTATTGGCTGTTTTGAAAACGCCCATGGCAGCAAATTTAGGGGGCGGAAAATTTTGCAATTTTTTTTAAATGTAGGTATAAAAATAAAATTGCAAACGGGAAAAGGCGACAAAATCTTGCATTTCCTGTGAGTATCGTAATTTCCAATTTTGTCGTTTTGTGGTGATACAAAAGACAGCACCTTTAATTAGTCGAGTTATGAGAGAAACCAAACACGCAATTTGGCCAGAACGCTCATTTATGAACATTCTTGGCCGTTTTGGTCTAACATTGGAATCTGAATTTTGTCAGTGACATTTTTGTGTCAGAAGGTTGGCTGCCTTTTCATTAGTCTAGTTGAGAGAGAAACCAAATACGCAATTTGGCCTGGAGCGGCGCGGCGCAGAAAGGAATGATGACGAGGACTTGAGATGAAAAGGAGAGGCTCTCGGCGCGGCGCGGCGGTCGGCATGTAACACATATATTAGCGCCTACAAGACTGCATGACTACTTCACGCATTGCGTCAAATACAGTGCGTTCAGCAGCGGTCGGCGTGAAAGGCATAGCGCCTACAAGAGTGTATGAATACTTCACGCATTGCGCCAAACAAAGTGCGATCAGCACGGCGCGGCGGTGGAAGTTAAAATTATTGAACCACATTTATGATTGTTCTTTCATAATTTTTTCGTTCATTTCTTATTAATGGAAGGCATTGTCTACACAGAAACAAGTTTACGGAACTTAACTTTCACACCAAGTTCCGTGAATTTTGGCTAGTAGTGTTGACAGGGCTTCCGCAAAAAATGTATCCAACACGAGTAAACGCGTCTTATGCATCCCTCTCCCTCCGGCACGTTCACTTGACGGTTTTTATTGATGTTTCAAAACGAATGAGATAGGGGCGGCAAAATACAGGCGGCCCATGGGAGGCAAGTAGGTAAATCCGGCCCTAAATCTCGCTATTCACCCTTATTAAAGTCATGTCTAATAAAATTGAGACGGTTGTTATTCTCAATTTCAAGGGTTTTGATGGTGGGATTTAGGCTGTTGAAAAAGTCGGGAATAGCATGCGTATCTTCTTTTTTTACACAATAAGAAAAAATATCATCAACATTAAAGTGGTGTTACCTACTTTTTTTAGAATTCCATTTCGTCACGTCGTCTGAATAATTTTCTACGTAAAATTTCAAAGAGAATGAATTTACTTAACGGAGCAATGCTTTAGTTCGTGTCTTGTCACGTGACCGTGGCCAACTTTATCTCAAAATTCCAACACTTTTTGAACTACTGCGGGTTATTTTTGAAAGTCTATTTGAATGCCCTTGGAAGAAATTGTAAGATTTTATTTTTTTTTCATCGAGGTTAGATGCGTTCGAAGGCGATTCTTGAACGTTGGCAGCACACTATTTTCCTCCATTTAAATGTATGGCTAACAATCGACTCTGGGCGAGGCAGCCTGCCTAACCTAAAATCGATATTTTTAACGGATTCAAATGCACAAAAAGCAATGTTGCCAACGTTCAAGAATCGCCTTTGAACGCATCTAACGCTGGTGAAAAAATTAAAATCTGGATCACGAGATAGGGTCGCTGTATTTCTATTTTAAAAAAAATGGAGTGAACTTATCCGATAGAATAAAGGATTTGGTACAGTAATAGACGGCTATCTTTGTGGAGAACATCCAAACAAGAACATGTTTTGTTTTCTCGGTTATCAGATACTCCAAAACATTCAAAAACGCACCCGGACTGACAAAAATAAGAATAGGTCAGATGCGCTGGTCACAGAATCAAGTTTTAATGCTTGTTCCTTATGGATTAGCTAAAAATAAAAAAAACCCGTCCAAACAGCAACTCTCTGCGTTTAATAGTGATGAAGATATTGCGCGCTTTAAAAAAATCGTTTCATGACGTCATCCACCGCGATAGACTCGGTTACTCTCGGTTTCTTCCACCTTGCTTTCATTTGTCAGGGATACACACATTGCCACTATACTCAACGTGAAACCCGGATGGAAGCAAGGTGGAAGAAACCGAGGGTGTCACAACCGCGATGGATGACGTGTTGACGTCATAAACCGAATTTTTCAAATCGCAATATATTTATTAATTTTGAACGTAGAAAGTTGCTGCGTGAACGATCTTGTTACTCATCAGCCGATCTCCAAGAATCACACACCAAAACACGATTCTGTGACCAGCGTAACTGACCCATTAGGTTTCAAAAGCCACCACTCACTTAATTTCGTGTCCTCTTCTGCATACCTCGCAAAAATAGGAACCGCAGGAAACAAGCGAAGAGTTTCCTTAATAACCTGTTCCAAATATTTCATTTTATCTAGATCATCCAGTGTAATAGGCTTATCGGCGTTTCCAAAAATATTGTACTGCTCCTCGAAAACTTTCTCCTACAATGCAAAAAATGAAGCATAAAACATTTGGTTGATGAAAATGTTTGGAATGGTGGATCTCATTCAACATTCAAATTAAATATTACCATACTTGTATACAAAATATTGTCAAATTCGTTTTGTAAAGAAGCTATCGTGAATCCAGCGATTCAGGTTTTGATATCGTCCTTGGACTTCATCAAATGTGTTCACTTAACATCTCTAAATAGAGATCATTTTCAAAATTGATTTTAATAAATGAATGTAATGTAATCATTGGCAGCAAGAAGGAGGGGGATCGAGTATTTTAAATCCTTCCGTAGCCCCTTTTTTTACTTTTTAACATAAGTCACAGCTTCTTAACAGGCTTTAAACGATTAGGTAAATATTCTTTATCCTTCAACAGATATGCTGTTTTTGGAAATACCACATTAAGATACGTCCCGTTTGCTTATCCTCATCTATTTCTAGGTATATACAAAATTAAATAAGTTTCACAGACTCACTTGATATTCGGGATGAATAGCTAGCATTAACAAAACAAAACAGTTGGTTTGCGCCGCGGTCTCACTTCCCTGTAAAAAATTATACTAGAATTAGACGATAGACATGCATGTAAATATTTTTCAGTAAAAAAGTACCTGACACTATGTCAGTCATTTCTGAATATATGGGAACATCTGGCAGTCTTGATTCTGATGTGAATCAAAATTTTAGATGAGAGAAAAAACACTAAGAGGTAACCCGAACTGTATGTAACAAGGTGGAGAAATGGTGCTGGATCCACACCATTTCGCGGGGAAATCAAAGCTAAGAAGTTCCGAAAATTATAATTAAAGTCAAAAATAATTTTCATTTAAACTCTAATGAGTACCAGTACAAAACTGAGGGGGGGGAGTGTTCAGCTCAGGTAGGTTGCATTGGAATATTAACTATTAAGTCGGAGTCACGCCGAGAGATCTATACTGGTTTGGGTCTTTTTAGACCTCATCCACAGATCACACTCTTCAGTGAGAAATCAAAAAGTCAAAATTCTAGGAGATCTTTTTTACATGACCGGCTCAAAATTGGACTGCCAATTTTCGTCTAATATGGACCCTTCAAAAGCAATTCAAAGTTTGAAGGCAAAACACGGCGATTTCGAGAAAAACGCCGTTACATATTAGCAACAATGTTGCTAGCGTTAGAGGCGATTCATTTCTATAGATCGTAGAACGTTACTGGTAATGAAAATTATGCCGTGGAATTTGGACTCAGTTTTTTTTGAGACTGATGAGAAGCGTTTTGTATCAAAATTTGGAAATAGATTTTTTCGACTTCGATCAACTTCAGTTTTCATCTAACGGACCTCTTTGTCTGATTACATTAAAGAGAAAGGGCATCCATTCAAAACCTGGTAAGTGCCACCCGGTTGCAAAAGCTATGTATGTTGTTCCACATCGTAAATGAATCTAAATGCATTTGCATGGCTTTTTTATTGAAGTAACTGGGGACACGCCCCGTGACCGCTGCGCGGTCCAACCTCCCGAGACGCTTCGCGCCTCGGGTGTAATCACAGCTCGGCGCCAAAAATAAAATGTAAGGAAACATACCGCGAGTATGAAGGTTACAGTCTCATCTATCTTATCTGTTTCAGAATAAGTGTAGATGCTATCTTCTTGAAAATTGTGGATGGCGTCAAGTAAATACTTTGGACAATCAACACCTGCTCCATTCATATCATCATTAGTGTTGCCGTAGTTTTTTGAAATATGTTTTCTCCTTTCATTAATCATCTGTAGTGGGGTCAAGATACGAAAACAAGTCAGCATAGCAGCAGTAATCGCGATTTGGTTGTAAAATGTATGTTGATTTTAGTGACGTCGATTTGTTGCAATATTATCGGTTAAGAAAATTGCGATTTCATCACATAAATTTGCAATAAAATTGTCATCTTATTGACGGCAATATATTGCAATATAATCGAATGGAAGATCATGATATAAATCAAGACCAAAGAGCGACGCCAAGAATGGCACAATTTGGGCCAGAAGGGATTTTTCTGAAACCGGGCCCAAACGATACCTTATGATACCCTAAAACTCTGGTAAAAATTTTAGCTTGAGTATACGCACCGTTTTTGAGAAATGGGGGGGCAAAGTTGCCAAATCGCCATCATTCTGGACAGCATTTTTACAGCAAAAAGACGGGAAAAATGGACGAAAAAGTTACACCATTGATGGGTTTGGGCTGTAAATGTTCTTATTGAGCCCCCGTGCATGTGATTATCTTCAGTTTCAAAAATTTTGGACGTACAGTGGTTTAAAATGGGGAGAAATCGTGGGCAGATAAGGATTCTTTGTCAAACTTTTTAAAAATGGAAGTAAAATTGTTGGTCTCCTGCAGAACAATGTTCTTATCGGTCTTCAATGCATTCAATTGGGTTCAGTTTATCAAATTTCCATCGCACGATGGTCCAAAATGGGAAATTAGTGGAAAAATTAAGATCTTCTGCCTAACTTTTTAAAAATGATGTACGACTATTGGTTCCCAGTAGACTTTAGATCCCAGAAAAATTCTTTAAATTCTTTTTTTGACTATTTAAATCTTTTTTACATTTTTTCTCTCCACTTTTCTTTCTTTTTTTTAAATTTCTGAAAGTTTGCATATTTTATTGAAATAATGCTACAAAGTCTATTCTATAACAACGTTATATAAACAATACGGTCTGACATATATAAATAATTAAAAAAAATAAAAACATGCATTTTTCCGGGATTTAAACTCTACTGGGGACCAACAGTTTGACAAAGGATCTTAATTTGTCCACTAATTCCCCCATTTTTGACCACTGTGCGATGTACATTTGTGAAGCTGAACACATTTTCATACATTGAGGACCAATAAGAACATTGTTAGCCATGAAAACTGCAGCAGACCGACAATTTTACTTCCATTTCTAAAAATTTGACAAAGAATCCTGATTTGTCGACGATTTCTCCCCATTTTGGACCACTAAGCGACCAAAATTTTTGAAACTGAACACAGTTAAATGCTTGGGGGCCCAATGAGAACATTTACAGCCGAAACCCGTCAAATATTTGACTTTTTCGTCCATTTTTCCCGTCTTTTTGCTGTAGAAATGCTGTCCAGAATGATGGCGATTTGGCAACTTTGCCCCCCCATTTCTCAAAAACGGTGCGTATACTCAAGCTAAAATTTTTACCAGAGTTTTAGGGTATCATAAGGTATCGTTTGGGCCCGGTTTCAGAAAAATCCCTTCTGGCTCAAATTGTGCCAAAAAACGGTCGTTTTTGGCGTCGCTCTTTCGATTTTATCGAACGCAACTTTATAGAGATAAAATTGCGACAAGATCAAGTATAATCAACCTGGTGCTGATGCATGATCCTAGCAATTTTATTGCCGAAAATTCGTGAAAAAATCGGAATTTAATTTCAAAATATTGCTATTTTTACGTTGAGAAATGCTACCTGGGAATAATTATGTTTTAATTAGGTATGCAATCGATTGAATGACTTATCAATCAAGTATAATTTAAAGAGATCATTATGCTGTGACGTTGAGTAATGCACTCTCTCATTTGAATGATGAAACAATTCTAAAGGATCGTAGTGGACGTATGAACATATGTACAGCTTCAAGATTTTTTATTAGCATCACCATGTAAGTAATGATATTACAATCGTTTTGCTGGAATTTTTCGCCTTACCAGCTTTTGTTTTGACAAATCCGGTTACTTTTATGCATGTCAATTGGAATTTTTACATTCATTTTGACAGAAACATCATGGGGGAGGGAGTGGGGGGGCACAAGTGAATTGTGATAAAAAAATTTAAACAAATTTCGGTTTTTCCCTTGTGGTGATCTTTTTATGTGAGACGCGTTCGGAGCTTTAAGTTCCATCATCATCAGTACTTGTTCGACTTCGACTAATGTTCTAAGCAATAGGAAAAACTTCGCACCCATCCTAATGGCAAGGGCACTGGGCAGGGCAGCAGGGGTTATAGAAGCAACCTTCCAAGTGCTACTTTACTCATTCAAAATTACGGTTCCAAATACATATTAAAATGAGTGTTCAAATATGGTAATGTGACACCTTGAAACACATGGTGTTCTGATTGCAACTTGTTGCGGTTGTTTCTTAATGTTACTTAACCAAATTAAACTTAAATTAAAAACTAACACCAGATAAAAATTATGTCATGAAATAAATTATTTTAAGAAAAATGTACGTTATTATAATACAGGGTGTACCAAAAGTCCGTCCCACCCCTGCTAACTTTTGAACGAATTGAGCTAGGGTAATGAAACTTTGGGAGTGTTCCTATCTCAAAGAGGACCATCTTTTTTTGGGGGGGGGGGGGGGG